ATTTTAATAGTAAAAATTGAAATGTTTCACGAAAAAATTACATAGCTACAGCAGTAGACATGTCGATCCCGTGAAATGACGGATGACTGGTATGGATTCTATTTGATCCCTAAAATTCTTAATAACACAAATGGCCACTTTGTTGGGTTTTGTTGCAGCATTCCCATATAAAAAATTTGCATGTAACACATCATTTTGGGGGGTTAACATAGTAAATTTGTTAAACTTGTGCAACTTTAAGGTTTAATTTCTCCCACAACAACATGACATATCAACAAAATGAAAATGTCATTTTGTAGAGAAAGGTCTTAGCTTCAAAATGACATCTTTTTTTTGGTGTTACATTGCCATTTTTGGAGGTGCTAAAGGATCTGCAAGACCAATAAAAGTTGTAGGGACTAGGTGTCTTGCACCACAATCCCCGAAATTCTTGGTAATACAAATGTTCACTTTGGTTTTGTTGCAAGTGTTACCGGAATTAGATTTTGACGCAGATCTTTTGGTCGAATCTATTATTTCCGAGACAATTCAAATTTTATTTCTAGTATATATGATTATTATCATCTGAATTCGTGTTACGTCCCGTCTATTTAATTAATCCGTAGCACGTTCATATTTATTTAACTTTATTTAGTAGAGATTAATGACGATTATCCCAGACCGGGCGAAATCTCCCAAGCACAAAGTGGACAGAATCGCCCAATTCGGGCTAATATGTAAAGAACACGTATATAAAAAACTTGATTTCAACCTAATGTAAAAGTAACTTGGTAACAAGTTAATTAGTTTCGACTAAGAAAACTAAATAAATAAAATAAATATTTTATTTAAAACTTTTATCTTCTTTACCCAAAATTATTTGCTAATAACAAAATCAATTCGTTGATCCTATTCATTCTGATCCACGCAAAACAAAAATAATTGTTATCACCAATTAAAATACGCTCTCCCAAATTTAATCGGTGACACAAGCATGCCCAAATAATAAATACCAAAACAATCCTCTCTCTCCTTGAGAAATTGTGTAAAAAAAAAAGGAATAAAAAGTTGAATTCACTCAATAAAATTTAAGATGGACATGGAACATACAAGAAAAAGGTTATCTGTGAAACGTGAACTCGACACACAACGTTTTTTGAATGCATCAACCAATCCCTTCCTTTCTAGAACTTAATAAAATTCAACGGAGCATGCTAACCTAACATGAAAATTATCAGCAGATAGTTGTAAATATTTACAAATTTGTATATGGGGTACACTCGTTTTTGATTGGTAGAGGTGTGACTATCTTATCCTTAAACAGGTGGATCGCGAGATAATCGTGTAACTTCTATAGATTTTAAATCTTTCAAAATGGAGTTCACATCTGTTACTGCCAACAACAACAATATTAATAACGAAAGCAAAAATACTTTTCAATTTCTTGCTTCTAGTCCTCCAAAGCAAACTAAAACACATCCACCACCCTCGACTGTTATTCATAAAGCTAATTATAAACATAACCCTTTAAAGTCACCAGTAGAATTACGACAAAAACGTATAGAACTTGACGTACAACTTCGTAGGAAACATCGTGAACAACTTATCACTGCAAAAAGATTTAAACATCATTTGGATGATTATAAAGATGATGAAGATGGTATTTTTCATAATTATAATTTATAATTGCTCTATTGCTAGTATTATTATTATTTATTTAAAACCTTTGCTTCTTATTGATCTTTAAGAACCAGAATTTGATTTGAGTCCAAAAGATATTGAAAAATTGAAATCAGGTTTAAATGTTGGTAAAAAGAAAGATAATAAATAGAAAGAAGGAAAGCAATTAATTTTAAATTAATTTAAATCTGGATCTGTAAAATTTAGGGAATAAGTCGTAATATTCGTCTCTCTAACCTTAAGCAATTAAGCAAATATCTTGTGGATCCTTCAGAAAATTTAAAAGGTTTTGTTATTAAAGGAAAATGTATTGAAATGTTGACAGTATGTAATGATAGTCTTATTGTGAATTATATTATGATGTTAAAGATAATGACGATAATGATGATGGTAATTGAATTGCAAATTTTTTTAAAACATATGTAATTTATAGAGATTTTTATCAGGAATAGATCCAGAAGAACAATTACAAGCTACTTGGTGCGTCACAAGTACATATATAGATTTCTTTATTTTTTTTAAAAAATAAGCAAAAAGTAAATTTATTTATTGCAACTATTTGTAATTAAATGATTTGTATATTTCCCACTCCCTCCCCGTCCAAAAATAAAGATATTGCTGCTGGAAATAAAGAATTTAAAGCATTTAAATCATTGAAAAGAAAAGTGAGATTATTAAATAATGAAAAACTATTACAACCAAATATTACATCTTATTTCAACAAATAATTTTTAATTTCCGCATGTATTATTTATTATGTTATTAATTGTATTATTTATTTATTATTATTAAAAAATTTTTTGCCGATCATCACCAATTTTTCCACAGCGGATTTCTCGTCATAACGGATTTTTTTGGTTGGAACCATGAATCCGCTGTGGCGAGGTTTGACTGTACACATGTTTATATGATTTGGATAAAATTCTGCATTTGACAATCTTCAAAAACACGTGACCATACAAATTTTATTGTATTTTTGATTGGAAATTTTTTTCTCAAAAAATGATGGTGTAGAACAAAAAGTTCAGTGACTAAGTGACTTGCACTATAGTAATATTGGATGGTATTAATGATAGATAATAGTAATAGTGGTGGCATTAATAATAATAAATAGTGGTGGTATTAATAATAAATAATAGTATAATAATTATTATTATAAAGTGGTAATGATTCATCAACTTCAAATTTTATAAATCATTTAACATCAGTTCATGATGTATTTATTGTTATAAAAATTTTGGATGAATAATAATTTTTTTATCTGACTACACCTTAAGTATCAATTAAAAATCCATTATACCGAGATTTAACTAGTAAATTCGTTCTATTGAGAGAGAATATGAGACATTAATACTGTAATATCAGTGGATATTTGATGGATATTTGGGTATCTGAATATCAAAACTGGTGAACAGATTGAATATTCGGATAACAGGAGAGACCATTCTGGGAACACAAAATTAACAGGAGGGAACACAAAATTTTAACCCATGCCATTTGTTGATTGACCAATTAAAATCACGAATTTGATAAATGTAGAAATAAATATGGATTTGATTCATTTTGTCAACAATCACTTCACCAACAATTGTTTCATTAATGAATTTAAGAAGTTGGAAGAAATGATCTAATAAATTAAATTGTACTACTCAAAAATGTATTTAAAGGGTTGGTCTTTGACTTGGTTGAAGAATAACTTTCTTCCTAACTCTTCTCTTGACCATATCTCTTGATATAATCAAAATAACCTTAATATAATGAATGTCAATGAAATGATTGTAAACACAACAAATTTAAGATGCATGATTGTGACAAAAAATGAACAATGTATGAAAAATCAATCAAATTTATTTAATAAAAACAAAATTTACAACCCAAAAAATTTTTTTTGCATGTTCTAATAAAATTTCCATTGTTGCTGTCATCTGTTGCTGATTCAACATTGCCTGGATCATCATCAACTGCATTTTCATTATTTTCAATAAATTCATTTTCATTTAATATTTTTTGTCATACTTTCTTTTAATGTGTTGACATTTTTTTTCGATTTTGACTTGAAGATAGTCCAAGATATCAAACATTTAGATTGACACCTTTGTAGACAATGATTGTGATAAATGGGTACATTACAATTATTCAAATTAGTATAGTTAGTGTAATCACATTATACATAATTGCAAAAAATGTTTGTAGATGGTTTCCTAGAAGTAACAAAGTTTTAGTAATTAAAGGATACTGATTGTCTCTGGATGTGAATTGTCAACATTCAACAAGAATGTATTTTTTGAATATTTTGTAAGTGCATTCTCTACATATATCTGCAATTTGCTTCTTTTTACAATCTACTGCTCTTGATGTTGTAGTTACTCCAAGACTTGTATCTATCAAGTCTAAATAGAATGCAAGTTTGAACTTAAAAGAGTTAATTTTTGTATTATTTAAAACAAGAAGAAGATAACACATGAACACCATCCAGAAAATATAAAAAACTTTTACACATGTCAATTGTAAGTTTAATAATAAAAAAGTGTAAAACTTATGTCGGAACTGTAAGATTTACGCAATATTACATTGGCATTGTAAGATTTATGCAAGCTTATGCTAAATTAATTTCCTGATGGCCACCATTAATCTCTTCATATGTTCCATTATGTTCAAATAGCCGAGCTGCTAAATAGAGTTGGTCAAAAAATCCCTTCAAGCTTGGTTCTATTTCTTGGAGCAATCTTCGTATTTCATCAAAATAGTATATAGGATCTTGATGTCTCTAGTAAAATCAATCTTTTCACTTACCTCTTCCTCTTCCTCTTCCCCTTCCACATCTGTGATTTTTATCTCCTAGGTTCTCTTTTTAAAAGATTTTCTACAAAAATTATATAACAAATGTTACATAAAACAACATGTTACTTTCACTAAGTTGTTGTTCTCAGCTTCTTTCTATTTATTGCCTTTCATTGATGAAATTTAGCTGATTCAGTGGTTTTACATTCTGTGCAATGTTTAATTTCAGGCAATTTTTCTTTGAGTAAATCGTATTATGAAAGTTGTGGGATTCAAAGGGATTCAAAAGATATGATAACAACAAAGTGTAAAGCTTCAAGTTTGTGTAATTATTTACACATGATTTATTGCAAGAATGGGCTACATAATACCCTTGTAAAAGTATTTTAAACTGTATAAAAAAAATTGTAATCAATTGTGAAAATTCATTCCTTATATAGGACGGTCTCTCCTGTTGCACCATATCCGATTTTGTAACTTCGTGTAATAATATGTAAACTCGAGTAAACCGACTTATCGAATTAAATTACTTAAATATTAAGAAAATGGGGTGAAAATTTTGGCCGACTTATCGACCGACTTATCGAGTTTACATATTAAATAAATATGTAGTATTTAATTATTATTATTAATTGCCGATTTTGGTCATAGAAATAGAATCATTCTTTTTTTTAAAAATAAACATCCAATCTCTGAGCACTGTTCTATTAACTGTTCTCTTAAATTCGCTCTCCTTTCTTCTGTAAAAGGTGCAACAATACTGATATAAAATGTGTTGTTGCATTTAATTGACAACCTATTGAACAACATGAACACAATCCAATATTTTTCATATGTCTTTAAAAAAGTAAATTTTCAAATTATTAGAAAATGGATTTCAAGCGTAATTACTACAACAGAAGATAATTTACAGTTCGATCAATCAATCATTCAATTATTTTTTATTTAAAGGTGATCGATTGTTCAATATGGTAAGATACTCTATTGTTCCATCCAACATTGCCAAACGAGTGAACAAAAGATATTTGAAAGACAATATTCGTTCATTTATTTATTATCCCACACCAAGGATCAATTTAGATTTTTTTTTTCTTTTTCGTATAAGTGATACAAACAAAGGCAAAAAAAAGTCTACACCCTTTTTTGGTTATAATGCCTGAAACAATAAGATAAATCCCTTTTTTTAAAATTGAATTATTCGTCATCATCACTATCCTAACATAATAAGCCGATCCAGCTTCAGTTGATAAAGGTTTAATAACGATCCGGCTTGTTTTGAATTGATTCATTTAACAGACGACTTGTATAGAATGATTCAGGATGGTGTTTATAATTCTTCGCATCTGATAGGAATGATAATGACTTGCGACTTTATATAGATTGACCGACATCAAATTTTTTTTTAAAAAAAAGGGTGCAAATTTGGAAAGCATTTTTGATTGTTTAAATTTTTTTAATTTTCAATAAATAAAAATAAATAAATAAAAATGTCAGCATTAGTAAGTTCTTTACATTTTTTTCATAAATATTTTTTTTAAAAAAACAAGCCGTTTATATGATTATTTATTATCCATCCTAAATAGTCTGATTGGCAGAATGCCACACCATACTCTGCACCATTTCCTCAATCTACCTTTCCCATCCTAGCTTTTTTACTTTTATTATCAGGATTTATAGTAACAAGTGCATTTTCAGTGTATCCTTTAAAATACATAAATAAATTAATTAAATTAGTTAATATAAATAATAATGATATCTCTTATTACTAATCAAATATATGTTGTTTATGAATTGTCTTTAATTTTATTAAAGAATATCATCAAAGACATCATTGATCAAAGAATTTTCTACAGCAATTCCTGCTTCTCTTTTGCTGGGCTTTGGAACTTTGTTCTTGTTTATGGCTGTTGGGATTTATGTATAAACAAAGATTACATTAACAACAATAAATTATTCTGTTAATAGACAGACAATAAATAATAATTTAAATAGATAACACGTTTTACAAAAAATACAGAATATGAATAATTAAAAATTTACATTTTTTTAAAAAATTAACAATAATATAATTTATATTCAAGTAAACATTTAATAAATTAATTTGACCAAATAAATAAATTAAAATCATTATCATTAATGCATTATTATAATAAATTAGGATGGAGAGGAAGTCTTTAAATGTTCCAATTGAGCTGTTAAAGCACGGATTGAAATATCACGTTGTGCCAGTTGTTTTCGTAAATCATCATTTTCTTGACGTAATTGATGATATGCCTCTTCATACTATTATAATTAAATATATATTGTATATATTTAATTAGTATATAATTTCATGTTATGGAAGATTTTAATAAAGAATGTTATATCACACATACTTCTTTTTCAGATTTGGGCACTTTTTCTTCCTTTTCTTCTTCTTTTGGAGCCGAAGAGACAAACTCTTTTTTCTCTTTAACTTGAAACCCTTTTTCTAAATCAATCATCTTTGGATTTGAATTTTTACCTTCGAAAAATTCGTCTGCTGTAAGAGCTGGTTCATCACCAATTGTTGGTGGAAATAAATCCGCTTGAAAAGCGTCAGACTGTATCAATTAATTTTTAGAAAAAAGAAAAAAATATTAATACAAATAAAAAGAAAAATTTTTTTTTAATCATCAATACTTGATAATAAATACCTTTCGTGGAACAACAAAAGAAATTGGTTCTATTAAATTATTTGCAACTTTATAAGCTCTAGCAATTTCACATTCTGAAATATTAACAGATCTTTTGGGTAAAAATGACATCCCACGTTGAGGTTCAGATGATTTGTATTCTGATAAGTAATGTAGCTCATCGTTCTCGAATTCATAGTAACGAATATTACCATCACTAATAAATAAGCAAAACATATAAAAAAACAAATTGATCGATACATGCTTATTAAATACTTTAATTTCAGAACTCATATTATTGAAAATTAACCTACCCCTGTAACGTTCGTTCATTTAAAATTTAATAATGTGCATGTATGCGTTAGAGTAATCTAGTATCATGTAATATTAAGAGAAGAAAAAAATTTTTTTTTTAATAATCACCTTGCCAGCCAAAAATAATATCTTTGTATCTTCATCGTAAAATGGCATTACAATACCAGAAGATGTGTCTAACATCATATTTTTAATCGGTTTTTCCAAATCATTCGTATTCCATAGAAACACTTGCCGATCGCTCATCTTTGAAAAACCTGTTGTTACGAATCTATCAGTATTTCCTAGCCAAACAATTCTAGAGCCTTTAACGCCTTGATGGCCAGATGCTTCTTGGACCACTTTGCTTGATCTTACATCGAAAATGCGAATTCTTTTGTCTCGAGATGTTGTCGCCAATAAACTTCCATTCCAATTCCAAGACATTGATTGTACAAAGTCAAGGAATCCTTCTAGTTGTTGTTTCTCGATGCCCTTTTCAATATCCCATAATTTTACAGTTAAATCTGCAGACGATGATGCTAAAACATTATCTGCTACAGGATGAAATAAAACATGACCAACTTTCCTGTAAGTTTATTTATTTATTAACAAAAACAAAAAAAAATGAATTGATAGATTAAAACAAAAACAACAACAACAACAACAACAATTTATATTAAACATATATGGATTTTTAAAAAATATCCGCTAAATCGAATATATATTAAAATCCGTTAAATCCGTTAAATCGAGATAAAATAATTATAGAAAAATTTGGTTTTGAAAATTTATCCGTTAAACCCCTAAATCCGCTAAATCGAGGTCCGTTAAATCGAGACCCACTGTGTATATAATAAAAATTTTTTTAGGGAAAAAAAAGATCAAGACATGTATTCCTTTGTAAATATTTTTTTTTATTGAATAATATAAAAATTATTCATAATTTTATTTACTTGAAGGATAGATTGAAAAAATGTATAAAATGGATTTAACCATCTTTCCTATAAAAACGTTAGATGATTATTGAGCTTATACATACATTAATAATTAAACAAATATTATATATTTATTTGACAAAAAATGAAATTAGTTGATTGAAAAAAAAATATTTATTTATGCAATTATGAGAAATGGAATAAGAGACAAATCAACAATATATTTTTTTTTTTATAAGAAATTAGAAAGAAGGTTCACATCTGACAAAACCTCCATTTAAGAATGCAATGATATCTAGAGTAAAATGTTCTTTTGTTCAAGTCATAAATAGACACTTTTTATTTCTACTTAACCAAAATTTCTTGCAAATTCAATAATTGACCTAGTTGGACGGCCTATAAAATAAACAATATATATAAATTTTTAAATGATTGTATTGGTTTTTTTTTATCAACTACTATTTCACCATTTTCATTTAAAAGCAATAAAAATAATAATAAAAATAATAATAATAATAATAATAATAATAATAATAATAATAATAATAATAATAATAATAATAATAATAATAATGATAATCACTTACCACTCATGCCTTTAATATTATAACCAGAATCATCTGTAGTAAGCATAACACTAGCTATATCAATATGTGCATACCTAATACAATTCAATTCATCTGCATCTTTAATTCTAACACCACCAATTTCACTTTCATCATCATCATCATCAACCTCATCACTATCTTTTTTCACATTTAAATCTTTATATAATCCATTAACAAATTCTTTTAGAAAAGCAGCAGCAACACTTGACCCTCCATACCTATCACCACCAACATTAACCAAATCTGCTACACTTGATTTCTCCAGCCCTTTTTTATAAGCATCTTCCAATGGCATTCGCCAAAATCTATCATTGGTTTTTTTACTAGAACTTGATAATTGTTGCCATAATACATTAGAATTGGTAAATACACCAGAATAAACATTACCTAATGCCACACCCATTGCACCTGTTAAGGTAGCCATATCAATTAAAGTATGAGGTTTGAAAGTTGAACTGGTGTAGTATAATGCATCAGCTAGAATAAGACGACCTTCTGCATCAGTATCACCAACCTCAATAGATTTACCGTTCATTGCTATTACAACATCACCAGGTTTAGTTGCATAACCCGAAGGCATATTTTCACATAATGGAATTGTTGCTACAACATTAATTGGTAATCTTAATTTTGCTATGCCATACAAAGATGCAGAAACGGCTGCACCTCCACCCATATCAGCCTTCATTTCTGACATGTTTGAAGATGGTTTCAATGAAATACCACCAGAATCAAACGTGACTCCTTTTCCAACCAATGCTAATAACGACGATGGTGACTTGTCACTGCCACCTTTATAATGCATCTCCAAAAATTTCAAAGGTTCATCAGATCCTTTGGAAACTGACAAAAATGATCCCATTTTTTTTTCTTCCACCCAATCCTTATCACGGACAATTATCTCAACATTTGACAATCTGTTAAATTTTGATTGCACATATTCAGTAAAGTTTGTTGGGGTCATATAATTTGCTGGCGCTTCCATTAGTGTACGAGCAAAATTCTGTGCTTCTGCATAAATCAAACCAGTTTCCCATGATAACTCTTTAAAATTATTGATGCCAGTTGTTGTTTCAGATGGTGAAAACGAAGTAGTTAGAGAAGAAGAATAGGATGATGATGATGATGATTTTGATCCAAGTGGTGTAATTGTTATTGGTGATTTTTGATTTTTAACAGATTTTAAAGTATCGTAATTATATAATCCAAGTATTGCTCCTTCAGCAGCACCTACAAATATATTAATTAATATTAAATTACGAATTACTTTATATTATTACATGCATCAATTTACCGTGTTCATTAGTCATGACATCAACTAAAATATTTTTAGCGTTATTTTCTCTTAGACTGCGAACTCCAACAGCTGACTAAAATAAGCAAATAGTAATAATGTACAGTAAGTAATGATTTAACAAGATATTCTAACAGTTTAAAATCATAATAAATTTTCATTTTATCATGATTGATAATTAACATTACTGCATTTCTAGCAATTTCCAAAGCCTCACATAACTCTTGATCATTACTAGGGTTTTTGAAATCTCTTCTTTTGCCCAATCCAACAATAGCAATTTTTTTAGGAAAACTGTTACCACTGTCAACATCAACAGCAGCATCATCATCAATTTTATCAATTCCATACAACAATTTACATTCACCTAAATTTCCTTTACTACATCCATAATATTCAAGTTTTTTTTTGATTGTTTGTTGAAATTTTCCAGGAAGTTTATTTGATCCAATAGTTTGACTTAATGTACCATCCTTGAATACACCTAGTACAATACCATCAAATTTTGATAAGTTCAGATTATTGTTGTTACTGCTGCCTCTAGAAACATTAGAATTGTCATTATTGTTGTTTGTGATTTTTGATGTTGTTGAAAAAGCTGTTAATTTAAAAGAAAAATGAAATGATTGATTGATTGATTTTCCTGAATTTCCTAATACCAATCTTGTATTTATATTTGATAATGATGTTGATGATGATAAAAATTGTCTTTTAATTAATGATCGATTTAAGCTTGTGGATAATTGATAGTGCATATTAAATTTTTTATATAGATACAATAGATCTTTTTTTATTTTAAACTGTCTTAAAAAAAGGAAAATACCACCAATCTACTACACCCCCTTATTTACCTATAAACCCCCCAATATTAATAAAAGGGTGGCTCGTATCATTTATTTTTAGCTTCCCTGATAATCGAACAATAATATTAATATGTAATACCTTTAGTCGATCAATCGATCCACTTTACCGTATTCCCACGTAATAATAATATAAATTGAACAAAGCTAGTCCATCTTATTAAAATTAATTTTTAAATATCACACAAGAATTGTGATAATCGTGATCCTAAAAAAATATATTAATCAACCCATTTTGTTTGCTTGGCAATGTCGTGTGTGTATGTATATATATTCCATATGCGCTGGCAGTGTGTTTAAACATTAGTAACCTAGAGCAAAAAACAAGAAAACTTTGTCGTATCAGTATAATTTTTTTAAAAATTTTTTTTTTGGAAAAGGTTCAATCAATGTCAAACGGGGCAGAAACAATCGATAACAATCATCATCAATACAAAAATCCCAAAGATATAAATATACACACTTGTTCTAAAGTTTTTCGTAAGTCAATATGGATTTCGTTAACTTTGATAAATGATATAATACTTTAGGTGTAATGAGATAACAAAACGTTGGTAAAATAAATACGTCCATGATTTATGTACGCTATGATATAGAGTCCGGGGTGAAAGGAATTCGTGCATGAGTAAACAAATAAGAGAGCGTACAAGAAGATAATAAACCTCTGGTATAGTATAATAATTATTTTAAATTATCTGATTGGACAGCTCCAAACGCATGATTTAACGGAAGAAAATAACAAAATAGTGCGACGTCATTTTGATACAATTGATAAATTTTTATGGCTCGCTAGATATGATGTTCTTTTGGTAAGTTTCATGTTTTTTTTTATCAACCAATAAAATAACATATTTTTATTTGTTTGACGGGAAATATGCTCGATCTTTGTTTAAAAAGGCATTCTAATTTGGTATTATAAACATCGCTTACGTATTTCTGTTGTTGAAGGAAAGAAGATGTTAGCAAAATAATCAATTAGTTAGTAAATGGGTTTCATTCTTCAGAGACCTATATGTCCAGCGCCTGATAAACTATCACATGACCAAACAGTTTTGCATTTTTAAATTGATGTTACACTAACATTAATATGGCAATTAAAAAAAATCGGCCCTTATCATAAAAAAAATAATTATTACAAGTATGTTGCAACATTTGAGGCCATTATCTCGTTCGTTGATATTAAATCCTAAAAGCAAATCAACTTTCTTTCAAAATTCAAATATTTTCCTTAGACAACGCCAAGTATCATGGGTTCAAACAAAAACTGAGGAAGTTCAAACTGGTGATTATCCTGACCTACCCACTAAATTATATTTACATAGACCACCATTGGGCTGGGATGATATACAAGAAAGAAGAAATATTGGAGAACCGGTTAATTATTAATTTAAAATATCTGGTTAATGTTTTTTTCTATAATTATTAATTAATTGTTTGTATATTTTTGAAAATATTCAAAAGATTTCAGAAGAATTTGACGCATTAAGCGTTTGGAGTTTTGATGCTTATAAAGGAGATACTTTTAAATGTTTTAGACATTTGTGTTATTTCGGTTTTGCTATTGGAGTGACTACTTTTATAATTTATGTAACTTTACCAGAAGATAAAGCGGTTGGTTAATAAATTATTAATGATCGTGAATCAATTGATCAAAAAATTTCTAATAAATATAATTTTTTAGGTTAAAAAAACATATCCTTATAATGGATTATTAGTTGAATTAGGAGGTAATCCATCCAAACCAGAAGATAAATATTTAGCAGTACGTATTAAATTGATTGCTTGTTAATTTATTCCATTCATCCGTCCATCCATCCATCCATTAATTAAATTCAAAATTTTTTCTAAAGTCACGTAGTGAATAAATTATAAATTATCAAGAATAAATAATTTTTAAACATCATAATAAAAAATCACAACAAAAATTTTCGTTTTTAAAATTCAAAAATTTGACACACAAAATTGTAAAGAAACAAGCTTTCAAATAAATAGAAAGTAGTAAACATTTACATTATTTATATTATTTACTTATGAATTAGTTTTTGACTTTAATTTATTGTTTAAATTCACCATCCACAAAATTTATTTATCTTATTACACAACAGCTTTGTCATTAATTAGGCAAGATAGCTACTAATTCTGTGTTATAACATTGCTAAAGATTTTTTAAACCATTGAGGATATTGATAGAGTACATGGGAAAATTATTTTATTTAGATAAAAATATATCAATTGCACCTTGGCAAAGACTTTTTATTTTATTTTTGAACTATTAGTTTCCTAATATTTCCATTGATTTAATTAAATAAATAAGTTCTTATATTTTATGTACTTAAAAATTTAAATTAGCAGCTTAATTTTTTAAATAATAATAAAGTCATAACACATAATAATGAATATTATGATTTATTGGTATTAATTAGTATAAACATATCAATAATTTTATTAATATTAATTACAACAATTTGACCCAGTGTTGGCTTTAAGATGCTTGTTATCCAATTCAAGTCTTTTATTTTGATGATTTTGTTGTTCTTGTGCATGTGTATCAATAAGTCTTTTCTTGATATCCCTATATATAATAATCACATAAATTAATTTATATAATTTTCACCTTGTAAAAAAAATTTATCTAAAAAAAAGATTTACCTTGCCAAAGTGAAGAAAGCTTCTTCTACATTGATGTTAGCTTTAGCACTGGTTTCCAAGAAATTAATACCAAATTCATCAGCAAGTGCCTGACCCTGTTCTTTAGCAATTACTTTCTTTTCAACCCAATCACATTTATTACCAATAAGGATCTTATTAACTCCTTCACTTGCATGCTGTTCTATATTTGAAAACCAGTTTCTTATATCTGAAATAATTATATATATATGTAAATGAATAATTATATTATATTATATTACTATTTGAAAATTATTATTGAGATTAATAATAAAAATATTGATTTTTAAGGATACTGTTGAAAGAACGTTCATCTGTAACATCATATACCAAAAGTATTCCCATTGCTCCACGATAATAAGCTAAATAAATAAATAATTTAAATATTTAGTAAATAAATTACAATTCCAAACCAATTTTTAATTAATTAGTTAGCTACCAGTGGTGATTGTACGAAAACGTTCTTGGCCAGCAGTATCCCAAATTTGAAGCTTGATTCGTTTTCCATCCAATTCAATTGTTCTAATCTTAAAATCAATGCCAATCGTAGTAATAAATGAAGGTGTAAAAGAATCATCAGAAAAACGAAGCAAGAGGCAACTTTTTCCTACTCCTATATATATATACATATTAAATTAATAATTAATTGTAATAATTTTTTTGAGTATTGTTATTAACTGGTAAATTTATTTATTTACCTGAATCACCAATTAATAATAATTTAATAAGATAATCATAAGCAGCACTTTTACTATTACTATGAGCCATTTCTTGTTTTTAATAATTTAATAAATAAAATTTGATTAAATTGATTATAATTATAATAATGAATTTATATTTAACCGTTCGTTATTTTAAATATTAAAAATTTTAAAAAGAAGAAAAGTTTACATATATAGTATACTAATACACACTAATAACATATATGTGATATTTGTACTACACAAGTAAATAAATATTTCTTGCCAAAACTCGTAATTTTTTGCAGATTTTTGAGGTTGTTTCATATTTTAATTAGATCTGTAATGTTTTCTTCTCATTCTGGCAAATTTAGAGTCGTACGGCAAAGGTTTCATTTCTTATAAACCGGAGAGGATATGGAAAGGGGGAAAGGGGGAAGGAGCGTAGTTCATTCATTTATATAAAATGTTATCGCTTGACTCAATCAGGTGACTTTTTGACGCAATTAATTGAGTCATATAAATAATTGAGTCAGACGCGATTAAAAATTGAGATTTTGGGTGAGTCAAAGCCAAATTGATTTTGACAACATGTATATTGTGATCTATGAAAATCTGTTTACTTTTTAAAAGAGCCCAAAATCTTTGCTTAGTGTGCATAAATATTTAGCATGTGTTAAAAATGACAGAATTTCACGTATAGTGGTCTTCAAGGCTATGTCTGTCTAATTATTATAAAAATTACAATTTTAACAATTTTACTTGGCCAGAAATTACTTAAAACTAACCTTTAAACTAATTGTGAAAATTAACAATAAAACATATTTCAGACCTTCTGAAAAAATTTTTATGGTGTTTTGTGTTAGTTTTTAAATATTTTTAATGAAAAGTTCAATGATTTTAAGTCACCAACAAATGCACCTAATAACCTTGACTTGAGACCTATAGCTCTGATTTTCAAGATAAGAAACATTTGCGTTAAATTAAAAAAATTAATATTTCTCTATTATTTGGGAGAACGTTAATATTTTTTGTAGATTAAAAAAATTTGCAATGGTTACACGAGAAAATGAATTCTCTTCAAGAAAAAAAAATCAAGACTGATAACAATAATTATATTGCAGCACAAAAATTATATTATAATGCTGCATCACCAGGAATAATTTATATCAATGGGCTTTATTCGGAAATGAATAATTCACGCAAAGTTGACTTTATTAGAAATTTTTGTGCAAGAAAAAAAGAAATTAATTTCTTAACATTTGACCATTATGCACATGGATCATCTTCTGGAAATAACGAGTATATTAGTATTGGAAGATTTTATAAAGATTTGTGTTTAATAATGGAAAAAGAAACCGATGGTTCACCAAAAATATTGATTGGTTATAGTATGGGAGTTTGGTTGGCACTATTACTAATTATATCAAATCATCATTATTTAATTGGTAAAAAAATTAAAGGATTGATTGGAATTTCACCCGCAATTAATTTCACTCAAAGTTTAATTGTAGATAAAGAAGAAAAAAGCAATAATAATATAAACCTGAAAGAAGAGAACAACAATAAATTGATTTATAAATTAAAATCATCGTATTCTAATAAAGGTTATTATCCAGTTACTTTAAATTTTATTAAAGAATCAACAAATCATTACATCTCATCAACATCATTATCATCATTATCAAATGTAATAAATAATAATAAATTTCCTATTGTGTTAATTCATGGTAAGGAAGATCGAGAATTCTCATACAATGAAACTATAAAATTATCAAATTTATTAAACATCAATAATAATCATAGTTACAATGATAGTAATTGTAATTGTAAAGTAATAATAATAAATGATGGAGATCATCGTTTGTCAAGAGATGAAGATTTAAAGGTTCTAGAAAATGAAATTGAAGAAATGATTTCAGATGTCTTGAAATGATCTATTTAGATCCAATTATTGGTTTAGAAAGGTCTAGAAAAAATATAAAATCAAACGATTTAATATATTTTTATATGTATAATTAATACTTAAAATAATAATTGCAATAATTACCTGGACCATTATTAATGGGCACAATACCAGTTGGATTGATTTGCTTATGACTTCCAAAATAATGATGTTTAATATGATGCATATTTACAGTATCAGCAACTAATAAAAAACAACAAAAAAAATTATCCCAATTAGATTTCTAAATTGTTTTAATTTCAGAATTTAGTTGGTACTTGCCTTTTGGAAGTTGATAGATACGTCGTGCCCATTGGAGAATATTTGGATAATCCTTTGAGATGGTTTTAAGATTAGTTTTAAAATGTGTATGATAAACTGGATCAAATCTATTTTATTATTTTAAAAAAAATATATATCAGTAAATTTTATTTTTCCAGGGAATACTTTTTAAACAAATAATTTACCTGATGATAGTTGTCCAAAGTCTGATATCAGCTTCTGTCAATGTGTTGCCTACAAGGAAATCATTCTTTGATAGAATATCTTCTATACGGTCCAAAGATTTAAATAATGGCTCAATATTTCGATTATCTAGTCAATTATTGTTATCATTAGTTATCATATATTTATATTAAAAAACGCATTTCAAAAAAATATATTTACATGCTTCTTGAGATGTAGCAAAGCCACATTTATACACTCCATTGTTAACAGTATCATAAACCCAACCATTAACTTCATCAATTTGCGATTGTAAATTTTCTGGATAAAAATTGATTCCTTTTTTATCATCTGGTATTAAATCATCAAATGCTTCATTAAGCATTCTAATAATTTCACTTGATTCATTATTTACTATAGTGCTAGATTTCTTATCCCAAAGCACTGGAACAGTATATCTATATTAATTAAATATGTATATAATATATAATTATTAAACATAAAAAAATTTAATTAAAATTACAACCAGCACAATTATCATATAATACTACCTTCCAGTGTGATCAGGATTGGATTTGTAGTATAAATCTTTAAGATATTGTGCATTATTAACGGTATCAGGAATAGCTCCAGGTGTTTCCTCTGGACTACTAAATTTCCATCCATTTTCCTCCAATAAATAATCAACAACACTTAATCCAATCACATCTTCAAGTCCTTTCAATGCTCTTACAACAAGTGTTCTATGTGCCTAATTATTTGTTTAGATAAATTATTATTAATACCAATGATGATGATCATAATGATGGTAGAAGAAATATATTCTTACCCATGGACAAGCAAAACTAACATATAAATGATACCGATCTCTAATTGATTGATTATTTATTTATTTATTTAGATTAAAAATTACGTAACAAATCAAATTTAAATATACAATGAATTAAGTGTTACTTTTCAGGTTGAAACCGGGAATTGGGATCTTTACGAACAAATTCACGATAACTTGATGGTTGTCTGCGAAATTCACCATCAGTTGATGCCCATTTCAAAATAGCTGGTGGACTCTTACTATCACTGTATATTAATAATTTTTTTTAATTGCTGTATATTTTTAATGAATATATTTATATAAATTTTTTAAATATTAACCTGACTTGTTGATTAGACATTTTAGTAATTGACAAATATCTTGAAAACTTATATTTTAAAGGTATAAAAATTTTTGTCCTCTAAATAACGAGTTTATATATAAAATTTTTTATTATAAAGTATATATTATATTCACACGTCGAACATTATTAAAGTTTGTCAATATTTATAAATTTCACCATTTAAATTTTTCGAGTCTTTTCTTTCAAGCTTACTAATTAATATTATAAATTATATATAAATTTAACGAGCACGATTAATAATAAATAAATAAATAATTTTAGTCATATCAGCAATAATCTTTATACCATAAATGGAACAATATGCACATCATCTTCCAAGTAACGTGACCTATTATTTAAAAATTTCCCGTGCTATTCATGAAATATATTCACTAGTATTAATATATACAAAGTTGGTCATGTATAACAATGGTATCCATGATTGAATCAATACCCTTGCTACCTTATAAGTGGCTTGATAAAATTGATTATGATCTCTATTATATACATCAAAACCGTCAAAATTGTTCATAAATAAGTATTACACATTCAAGACTGCTAAAATACAATTTTTTTTGATTAAATATTTTGGTTTTATACGAATTCATAAAATCAGTTGCTAGAACATAAATGAATAAAAAAATTATGTAATATTTGCACAAGAACAGACAGCAGATCATGGGTCTTTGTGGTGGAACATTGACATTGACAAATCCTTCCTCTTCTGTTATGAAATGAACCAATTGATCTTCCATGACCTTCTCCATCCTTTTGTATAGGTGAAGAAGATTGTGAGTAACTACATAGACAGCCATGTTTTATCACCAATGAGGAGCCCTTTGATGTTTTGACCCCAGAACATGTCCATGACATCATAATTATTCATTTTCTTTGTTTTCTTTGTTTTATTCAAATTATTTGTTTTATTCATTTTATTTGTTTCATTCAACTAAACTTTTAATTTAATTTGAATATTCATAATGAATGAAACAAATAATTCAAATAGAAATCCTAAGGACACTATTTTTTTTTCAATTCATATATAAAATTCATTGTCTCTGCAAACTTTTAAACTCTTATTGTTTCAGCAATGCCTTTGAATAATTAAGTCTGTGCCTCCAGAAAAAACTTGTTCACTGGTTGTTATTAGATTAGAAATTAATAAATTTAATTCTAATAAGCAGAGTGGCAAAAATCAGAATACCAGGAACTGCCAAGTAGTTTTTAGCCTAAAGCTCTGAATGGTAGGGAGAGATTCAGTATGGTATAACTCTTGCAGAACGTATGGTATGGTATGGTATAGCCCATATTTTTTCCATAACAAGTCACACAAAATTTTATTCTAAATCCTTTTTTGGTGGGTGTGAAGGGAAGTATGTTAGATTTAAGCATTGGTATACAACCATTTTATTACACTTATACAATACCATACCATACGTTTTGCAAGAGTTATACCATACTGAATGTCCCTATACTCAGTTCGGTTTTGGTTTGGTTCAAAGAATAAACTGAAACTGAACTGAACCAAACTGAAATTTTTCAGTTTGACTTTTAGAAACTGAAACTGAAACCAAACCATTTGGAGCTTTATTCCCAAGATAAAACACAATATTGTAGTATTGATGCTACTGCTCATTATAGTTATGATTGAGCCCAAAATGTTCATGTACCCCATACAGATCAACAAGTAAGTAAAATTTATTATATTGGTCCATGTAAGATCCATTTATTTAGTATTCAAGATGAAGCAATAAGGGAACAAATTAATTATGTACTTGATGAAAATGAAGTTATAAGAAAAGGACCAATGGCACACTTGGTATGATCTTTGATGGAATCAAGAAATTGAACAAGGGGAAAAGTATTTAATATTAAAGATTACCTGTGATAATGCTGGGGAGATAAAATAAAAATAATGTAACAATTGATTTTATTTGTATCTAGTAATTTGTGGTTATTATAAAAGTATTGAATTGAATTTTATGGTTCCAGGACATACCAAATTCAAATGTGATGGTAGTTTTGATATTATTAAAAAACTCTACAGAAAAACAAGAGTAGATTGTATAGATCATGTGGTTGAGGTGGTAAAAAAAGTCTAGTCCAGCACCCTATAGAAAATTTACATATGGAAATTCTGTATGAATTATAATTTTTATTGCTATGGAATGATTATTATTATTATAAAACATATGGAAAAAATTACAAAGTATACTACGGTGCAGATCATCTATAATCATTAATTGCTTATAGTAACAATTGGTCAACTTCAAAATACTAAAACAAAAAAA